TACGGATATCAGTCAACAAAGCAGTCCGCCATACTCATCAAAGAAGACGCAAATACCACCTTCTCCCAAATAAACTTCAGTACCTCTTGACTCAAAGAAAAGCCCAAATCTACATAGTCCAAAGTCAATCTCAAAGCCATCTTTGTTTTCTTGCTCTGCCACAGTAACACCCTGCTAACCAACAGAGTGCCGTGAATGGCCCACCAAACCAATAGAGTGCTATGAATGGTCCGCTACAGATGTCAGTGAACAGGGCAGTCTGCCAAACATCAAAGAAGAGGGAAACCAAACTGATAGTGTGCTGTGATTGGCCCAGCACCAAATGACCGGGGCTGCAGAGGTTCCAATGGAGCCTGGCTAGATCATCCTTCTACTTCGGCAAACAGCAGAGCTGTGTGCCTACTGCTTGTGTGTGTATGTGTGTATGTGTGTGTGTGTGTTTGTGTACCGTGTATTCATTACCTTCTGGGGACAATTTCTTGGGTTTATCCTTGAATGTGGGGACCTTTTGACCTTGTGGTGACATTTGACTGGTCCCCACAAAGGAAAATCCCCTATGGGCCGTGATATACATGCTGTTTGACAAAGCAAATTTGTGTTTAAAATGGCTGCCACGCGTTACTTGCATTGATTTGAAGCATCGTTTGTGCGCATTCCTCGAAATGAACGATGCTGCAATATACGAGTAACCAGTAGGTGGAGTTTACAAAATGAGCGAGACACACTCACCATGGTGACTCCATCTCTGAGGTCTTTCATACTCTTTTTCTATCGTGAACCCAAGATCTTTTCTATTGATGCCATGTTTTTTTTTTTTTTTGGTTGAACCCACAAACCTGGGGTGTTTCTCAATGTCAAGGCGCCTTGCCTTGCAAGGCGATGTCTTGCGAGGCCAGGCTCCTTGCTTACGAGGACACTGTCCTTCCTTGGTCAAAGAAAACGGTTAATGGAACAGACTTGCATCACGTGACCGCGGCTTCCATGGCAGTCACGTAACGTCACGTGACACGGGAGATAACATTATATTTTATATGCATTAGTTTCAATATAAATATATAACGAGTTTTACTTTTAAAATTGTGCATATGTTTATTAAATTAAAAATATAAGCGAGTTACTACCCGCTAGCCACCGAAGCTGCAACTACTAAGCAACTAACCAACAATAGATAACTTCTTTGGATCTGAAAATAAAAACATTTTAAATTAGGTGACATACTTTTAAACTTGAAAATTGTCCCCGAAATAGCTGCCAGCTTCTGATCCGCCGTCCTTTTGAAAATACTGCGGTGTATTCTGGGTAATTTTTGGCTAAGGCTAGGCTACAAGACACCTCCCATGTGTCCTTGCTGAGCTAGCTAAACTGCTAACAAAAAGAGAACACATGCCTTGGTAGAACATGAACATTAAAACCGATTGGAACACGTCTTGGTGGCTCCTGACGACGTATCTTCTAGGCAACTAGGGCAGGGCCAAGACATCAAGGCAAGGTTTGTTGACACTGAGAAACACCCCCGGCTCTCTGTCTGGTCTGAGTAGTCTAGTGTGCCCCCTAGTGGAACACCTCAGTACTATGTCCAATCCAATCCAATTTATAAAGCGCATTCACAAGGCATTACAACCAAACAAGGCGCTGTACACTAAAGATGTTAGTTAATCAAACCGGCGGTATACAAACATGTCGAACACAGATAAAAGATAAAAAGGAAATACAACAAAATTCCCAAAAGCTAACAGCTAAAAATCAATAAGACACAGGCTGAAAAAAAATTAGAAAAACATTTTAAAAAAGAACCTCAATAGTATGGAAGTTGATATTGTAAAGTCCATTTTTAAACAATGCAGATGTAAGTGATGGTCATAATTATGTTATATAAGCTAGGTTGAAGTAGTGAGTTTTCAAGCGTGATTTAAAAATGCTAGCTGTTGGTGCTTGCCTCACTAGCAGTGGTAAAGTGTTCCACAGCTTCGGTGCACAGACAGAGAAAGCCCTCTCTCCACGGCTTTTTAAACGTGCATTTGGAACAGCTAGGAGGAGCTTATCTTCAGACCTGAGAGCACGCGGCGGGTTGTAGTAATGGACCAGTTCACACAGATATGGAGGAGCTTGATGGTTCAAGGATTTGTAAGTCAGAAGCATAATTTTGAAATTTATCCTAAACTGCACGGGCAACCAGTGGAGAGATTTCAGAATTGGAGAAATGTGTTGTCTTCTGTCAGCTCCAGTCAGCAACCTAGCTGCTGAATTCTGGACCAGCTGAAGTCTAGAATCCAGCCTTGAGGTGATGAAAGTGTGGACCACAGATTTCAGAAGACGGACACTCAGGATTTGCTTTAGTTTCGAGATGCGTCTTAGTTGGAAAAAACATGATTTAACTGTGTTATTGACCTGGGCATCCATCTTCAGAGCCTGGTCCATTTTTACTCCAAGGTTGGAGATTACAGAGGATACATTAGGTGAGAGATAGCTGAGGTCATGTTGATGAATTGCCATGGTACTGTTAGGACTGAAAACGATTAAGTCAGTTTTGGAGTCATTAAGATGGAGGAAGTTGTCAGCTAGCCATTGCTTGTGCAGTACAGCAGCATGTACTGGGAGTGCAGAATTATTAGGCAAATGAGCATTTTGTCCACATCATCCTCTTCATGCATGTTGTCTTACTCCAAGCTGTATAGGCTCGAAAGCCTACTACCAATTAAGCATATTAGGTGATGTGCATTTCCGCAATGAGAAGGGGTGTGGTCTAATGACATCAACACCCTATATCAGGTGTGCATAATTATTAGGCAACTTCCTTTCCTTTGGCAAAATGGGTCAAAAGAAGGACTTGACAGGCTCAGAAAAGTCAAAAATAGTGAGATATCTTACAGAGGGATGCAGCAGTTTCAAAATTGCAAAGCTTCTGAAGCGTGATCATTGAACAATCAAGTGTTTCTTTCAAAATAGTCAACAGGGTCGCAAGAAGCATGTGGACAAACCAGGGCGCAAAATAACTGCCCGTGAACTGAGAAAAGTCAAGCGTGCAGCTGCCAAGATGCCACTTGCCACCACTTTGGCCATATTTCAGAGCTGCAACATCACTGGAGTGCCCAAAAGCACAAGGTGTGCAATACTCAGAGACACGGCCAAGGTAAGAAAGGCTGAAAGACGACCACCACTGAATAAGACACACAACCTGAAACGTCAAGACTGGGCCAAGAAATATCTCAAGACTGATTTTTCTAAGGTTTTATGGACAGATGAAGTGAGAGTGAGTCTTGATGGGCCTGATGGATGGGCCCGTGGCTGGATTGGTAAAGGGCAGAGAGCTCCAGTCCGACTCAGACGCCAGCAAGGTGGAGGTGGAGTACTGGTTTGGGCTGGTATCATCAAGTATGAGCTTGTGGGGCCTTTTCGGGTTGAGGATGGAGTCAAGCTCAACTCTCAGTCCTACTGCCAGTTTCTGGAAGACACCTTCTTCAAGCAGTGGTACAGGAAGAAGTCTGCATCCTTCAAGAAAAACATGATTTTCATGCAGGACAATGCTCCATCACACGTGTCCAAGTACTCCACAGCGTGGCTGGCAAGAAAGGGTATAAAAGAAGAAAAACTAATGACATGGCCTCCTTGTTCACCTGATCTGAACCCCATTGAGAACCTGTGGTCCATCATCAAATGTGAAATTTACAAGGAGGGAAAACAGTACACCTCTCTGAACAGTGTCTGGGAGGCTGTGGTTGCTGCTGCACGCAATGTTGATGGTGAACAGATCAAAACACTGACAGAATCCATGGATGGCAGGCTTTTGAGTGTCCTTGCAAAGAAAGGTGGCTATATTGGTCGCTGATTTGTTTTTGTATTGTTTTTGAATGTCAGAAATGTATATTTGTGAATGTGGAGATGTTATATTGGTTTCACTGGTAAAAATAAATAATTGAAATGGGTATATATTTGTTTTTTGTTAAGTTGCCTAATAATTATGCACAGTAATAGTCACCTGAACACACAGATATCCCCCTAAAATAGCTAAAACTAAAAACAAACTAAAAACTACTTCCAAAAACATTCAGCTTTGATATTAATGAGTTTTTTGGGTTAACTGAGAACATGGTTGTTGTTCAATAATAAAATTATTCCTCACAAATACAACTTGCCTGATAATTCTGCACTCCCTATTATGTCAACAAAGCCTGCTGCCTGCACCAACGTGAGGTCAAACAGCAAGTATATCACACGATTAAATAAATCTAAGAAATGATAGATAGATAGATAGATAGATAGATAGATAGATAGATAGATAGATAGATAGATAGATAGATAGATAGATAGATAGATAGATAGATAGATAGATAGATAGATAGATAGATAGATAGATAGATAGATAGATAGATAGATAGATAGATAGATGATAGATAGATAGATAGATAGATAGATAGATAGATAGATAGATAGATAGATAGATAGATAGATAGATACATGATAGATAGATAGATAGATACATGATAGATAGATAGATAGATACATGATAGATAGATAGATAGATAGATAGATAGATAGATAGATAGATAGATAGATAGATAGATAGATAGATAGATAGATAGATAGATAGATAGATAGATAGATAGATAGATAGATAGATAGATAGATAGATAGATAGATAGATAGATAGATAGATAGATAGATAGATAGATAGATAGATAGATAGATAGATAGATAGATAGATAGATCGATAGATAGATCGATCGATCGAACACACCAAGTCAACACATGTCGGTAAAATGAGCCTCAGGGTGGGTGTAACATTAGGTGTTTTTTAGATAAATCAAGTAAATACATTCTGCAGCAAAGCACAAAGGAATTGATCAGGAAGTCTGTGCAATCTGACTCTATGTGCTAAAGAGTCACAAGAAATACTGCAATAAAAAACTTGTGTGTGTGAAAGAAAGCAACTACGGCTTTGTTAAACTCAGCCTGGATGTTTTTCTGCTCACTGACTAAGAAACAGGTCGGCATCCATTCACCTCTTTGATCCTCTCCAGCTCGTTGTGCAGCGCCTGTTTGGAGATCTCTACCTCGATGATCTTTTGTCTGAGCACCTCGTTCTCGTCCTCCGCTCGGCTGCGCTTGTCCTCTGTGCTCTCCAGCTCGTTGTGCAATCGCACCGACACGTCCTTGGCGACCTGAGGTCAGTCGGGTCAGAAAAGAAACAAAAGATGAGCACATTAATAATTCACGATGTTGTTCTTTTGCACACAATCACAGATTGCAGCTCAGGATTCTTGATCAAGGATATGTTCTGGTGACAAATCATAAAAATTGTATTACTTTAAAAGAAAAGACAAGAAAAAAATGAAAGGTTGCAAATAAAATTGAGAAACTTGCAGTTTGTTTCCTCTGATTATAAAATTAGATTTTTTATTTATGTTACTGTAATTGCAGATGCCGATTGCTTAGTGGGTGAATGGATTTGGTCGATTTTTAAGTTTGATGGACTATAAACTACAGACTTCAAGTTTTAGTGCAAAACAACCTAATTATACTTGTCTTTATAGGTCAAAGTAGACAAATTTTTACTTTAACCTGTATACTGTGGGGACATTTTGCAGGTCCACACAATGCTAAACACCCTAAAACTTTTAGTTTAGGTTAGGGTTTGGAAAAGAGCCCCATTGGTTAGGGTTAGGCATAGTGGAGTCACTAAAATGATTGGAATTCAATGGAGGTAAACAAAACCTGGAAGCTGGAATTGGTCTACATTTCTATGTATTATGTGAATAAAAGCTAATTATAAATCAGGCAAAAATAAAATCTGCAGACCTTCAAATCCTGCTCCAGACTACGCAGCAGCTCTCCATCCACGTGGCCCGTCTGAGCGACCCGCAGGCTCTTCTGCTCTGCCTTTCTCAGGCGATACTGTAGGATGCGGCAGTTCTTATTGGCCCGGTCCAGTTCTCTCCGTAACTCCTGCAGCTGGTACACCTCCTCCTCCAGGTAGCTGTCTCGCACCTCCTCCATCTCTGCTCGCAGCTCGTCCACTTCATCCTGAAAGGACGAAGACGTACAATCAACAATATTTATAAAATGTATTTATGAGTATTTATGGGTTTCAAAACACCAAAGGTGAATTTATGTTATGTTTATGATACACAGGTAAATACAGATGAATGTGTACATGCACTGTTCAATGGAGGGATATGCCTTTGTGTGCATAGGCATGGATATGAGATTGTATGCCCGTGCATGTGTGTGTATGTAAGTGTACAGGTCCTTCTCAAAAAATTTAGCATATTGTGATAAAGTTCATTATTGTCTGTATTTTCCTGGTAAACATTAGACTTTAATATATATTAGATTCATTACACACAACTGAAGTAGTTCAAGCCTTTTATTGTTTCTAATATTGATGATTTTGGCATACAGCTCATGAAAACCCAAAATTCCTTTCTCAAAAAATTAGTATATCATGAAAAGGTTCTCTAAATGAGCTATTAACCTAATCATCTGAATCAACTAATTAACTCTAAACACCTGTAAAAGATTCCTGAGGCTTTAAAAAACTCCCAGCCTTGTTCATTACTCAAAACTGCAATCATGGGTAAGACTGCCGACCTGACTGCTGTCCAGAAGGCCATCATTGACACCCTCAAGCAAGAGGGTAAGACACAGAAAGAAATTTCTGAACAAATAGGCTGTTCCCAGAGTGCTGTATCAAGGCACCTCAGTGGGAAGTCTGTGGGAAGGAAAAAGAGTGGCAGAAAACGCTGCACAACGAGAAGAGGTGGCCGGACCCTGAGGAAGATTGTGAAGAAGGACCGATTCCAGACCTTGGGGGACCTGTGGAAGCGGTGGACTGAGTCTGGAGTAGAAACATCCAGAGCCACCATGTACAGGCGTGTGCAAGAAATGGGCTACAGGTGCTGCATTCCCCAGGTCAAGCCACTTTTGAACCAGAAACTGCGGCAGAAGCGCCTGACCTGGGCAACAGAGAAGCAGCACTGGACTGTTGCTCAGTGGTCCAAAGTACTTTTTTCGGATGAAAGCAAATTTTGCGTGTCATTCGGAAATCAAGGTGCCAGAGTCTGGAGGAAGACTGGGCAGAGGGAAATGCCAAAATGCCTGAAGTCCAGTGTCAAGTACCCACAGTCAGTGATGGTCTGGGGTGCCATGTCAGCTGCTGGTTATGGTCCACTGTGTTTTATCAAGGGCAGGGTCAATGCAGCTAGCTATCAGGAGATTTTGGAGCACTTCATGCTTCCATCTGCTGAAAAGCTTTATGGAGATGAAGATTTCATTTTTCAGCACAACCTGGCACCTGCTCACAGTGCCAAAACCACTGGTAAATGGTTTACTGACCATGGTATTACTGTGCTCTATTGGCCTGCCAACTCTCCTGACCTGAACCCCATAGAGAATCTGTAGGATATTGTGAAGAGAAAGTTGAGAGGCGCAAGACCCAACACTCTGGATGAGCTGAAGGCCGCTATCGAAGCATCCTGGGCCTCCATAACACCTCAGCAATGCCACAGGCTGATTGCCTCCATGCCACGCTGCATTGAAGCAGTCATTTCTGCAAAAGGATTCCCGACCAAGTATTGAGTGCATAACTGAACATAATTATTTGAAGGTTGACCTTTTTTTAAATCAAAAACGCTTTTCTTTTATTGGTCGGATGAAATATGCTAATTTTTGAGAAAGGAATTTTGGGTTTTCATGAGCTGTATGCCAAAATCATCAATATTAGAAACAATAAAAGGCTTGAACTACTTCAGTTGTGCGTAATGAATCTAATATATATGAAAGTCTAATGTTTATCAGTACATTACAGACAATAATGAACTTTATCACAATATGCTAATTTTTTGAGAAGGACCTGTACAGATTTGTGCACGTGCATACATATGCACATGTAAGAGTATTTGTGTATATGTGAGTATGTAGGTGTACGTATATATGAAAGTATGAATGTGCATTAGTATGCATGTACTGTATATATGTTTCTATGTATATATACAGATATGTGCGTATGGGAATGTATGGGTTTACATATTCATGTTTGTGCATAATAAAATGAGTAAACATGTAATCATTGTATCTGTTTATATGGATATGGAGCTTTATGGATTTCTTGTTTTTGACTGCACATGTTCAAATAAAACTAAACCAAAAAAATTTAGATTTAAAAAAATATATATTTTTTTTAAATCATGTTTAATCAAATTTTAAGAACATCAATAACATAAATCTGGAATAAAAACCTTCTTAAAGATTTTACACCTTTGATTATGCACAAGTACTATCAGAGTATAATTAGCCAATTTCTTCATAGAGCTAGAGATGCACAGATTCTGATTTTGAAGGCCGATACCAATTTCTGACTCTTGTACAGCTCCAACCTGCAGATAACAGATTTGGCAGATTCTGAATAACATGAAATTTTTGGAAGAACTAATGTCCACATAGAATATCTGACAATCTGTGCTGACAAACATCTCACCCTTTAGTAAGCATTCATGTCTGGTAATTATTATTATTTATTAACTGTAATTACATTACATTTTTGGTCAAATTACTTGTTTGGAACTGTATTTTCAAAGTTTATGACCCAAGAAGCTGAGTTGAGCAGAAAGACCTGAGACTTATGTGTGGCTTGCAAAACAATGACATGTTCCCACCTCAGACTAAAATCTTGTCATAAACCAAGAAACAGTTTTCAACTGAAAGAGTTGATTTGAACATGATTTGCAAAAATATTTGAATAAAGTGGTGCAATTCTTGAGGGGATTATTCTAATATTTTTTATATGATTACATGAGTTCTAATGATGCAGGTACTCCCACTGAGATCTGTTCTCTCTGGTTTCCATCAGACGTTCAGAGTTTCTCTGCAGCAGTGAGGTGCAACAGTGGTTCCTTTGATATCTATTTGCTATCCATCCAGAAGAATCTGTTTGCGCTGCAGATTTCTTCTGGGATCAAAATTCGAACCTCATATGAAAAGACAATTGGTCATGTTAAGGTGGGAGAGGAAACGCGCCTCATTTAAATTAAACTAAATCTGTCCTGTTTTGGGAAGCACCAAGCCCGGTGTTATTCGAGGAAGACCCTGGAGCTAATGACCTCGGGCGAACCGATCGAAGGCCAGGTTTAATTGAGAGGCAGAGCAGCATCGAGGGAGCTTGTGTGTTTCAAAGAAGCCCTCTGATGTTTATTACAGGTGCATGGTGGGTCAAAGTATTCTTATAAACTCATGTTTATCTTCAGCCAGTGGCTACTGGAGTCAAGTGAGAGATTTATTTGTTTTACAAACAGTTTAGAGAAGCGTTTTTAATGTTTTAAAGCCCAGAGTAGCTTTAATGAAAGGTTTTCAGCAGGGTGTAGTTACTAACCTGAGCCACTAGATGGCACTACATCACACAAGCTGGACCTTTAATTATAGCGAATCCAGTTAAGAGAGTAAATATCTAATTCACGAGATTTAGCAGTAATTGCTTTGTGGAATGCCTTCACTGCCATCTCAGCAGGAGGGACAACAGTCATCTATTACGTTAAGCACCGCTTATGCATCCCGTGGAAAGGCTAGTTTATGAATACAATTTTCTAGATGTGACAAAATAAAAAAATAATTAACATTTTATCAACTGTAGGGAAATTCTTTGAGAAAAATCGACACCTATATGGATTAATTGTCTTTAGACAGACGGTGTAGACAATATTTGCAAATCATCTCCTTCAGAATTATAAATGAATGTGAGCATCGGCCATCTGGGATCAAATTAATGACTAAATCCATCAGTCACTGAGGAGTAAAAGATTGCTTTCATCGTCTGAAGTCTATGAGCCACTATGACATCCAGAGGAAAAATAAATAGGGGGGGCTGGAGGACTTTGGAGACCCAGCTGGCAGGCAGAACCAGGCAGGGAGGGTCTGTAAACCCCAGACTCATGGGACGTCAACTCCTGAGGGATAAAGCCATTACAGCCAGAGCCAGTAAAGCTGATTAACTCTCTTGTGTCTCCACAGAGCTGGAGAGAAAGGCCCAGCACATATGTAGTCAAGTTTGAAACACAACTCTCATCAGTGACATGCAAACATATTTGCATTTGGGAAAAATAAATAAACTACTTAGTTTGTTCATTTGTATATTTTGCCCCTCCTCAGCTTAGGAAGAGAGCCCGTGGAGGTGGAGTCGATCTGGATGCAAATACATGACATCTGAATGAGCAATTGAACTACAATGGAGAATGGTGTTGATAAAACTCCCAGAGGTCAAACCCTGGGGGGTGCTGTGGGTGTGGGGGCATCATGATGGATGGAGGACCGAGGAGGTGCTGATGCTCTGAGCAGGTGCACACTAGACATGAAGCCTCTGAGTTTGTTTCTGCAGCAGGAGGTGCTGCAAATCACAGAAGTGCATTCAGACTCTATCAGATCTTACCTTGAGGTAGTCGTTTTCGGATCTCAGATCTTCTATTTCCCGTAGCAGATCGTCCTCGGTTGCAGCCTTGGAGTCTGACGGGTGTAATTGTGCGCTTGTGGAGGATTTCTCTGCTTTGTGTTTCCCTCCCTGGTGTCCCGGAGCGGGCTGAGCCTGAGACATGCTTCCCTTGGCGGCGGAAGCGTCGCCTGTGCGCCGCGGAGCTGCAGCTGTCGCCCCGCTCGTATCTACCAGCTGGTCCCGGTCACTGGAGCCAGTACCGGACTCGGCGTCGCTGCTGGCGGCCGGTGCCAGCTTCTGCTCATCAGACAGCGGTTCGGATGGGCAGTCCGACAGGTCGGAGCTGCTGTCGGTCTGACTGACCTGGCCAAGAGGCGCACCGGTCGGCACCCGGATCGGGGATGGGTTGTGAGGGCCCGGAGAGCCCGAGGCTGCTTTAGCCTTCTTGCCTTTGGTGATGACCGGACTGCTGGTGTCCGGTCTGCTGCTGACGGATTTGGGCTCAGCTGCTGCATGCTGAGGCACCTTTGTGGGCTTTTTAGCGACTGCAGACTTGGGTCCACTTTTGACCGTAGCTGGTTTCTCTTTGGCCCCGGATATGTTACGTCTGGAGCTGCGGTTCGGATGGGCTAAGGACACTGTAGCGCACTGCTGCTTGCTAAGTTTGGGGGATTTGGGTAAGAGGCCAGGTGGTTTGGTGGAGCGGGAGTGAACATCTTTGAGGAACGGTCTGGCCGGTGACGGCGCTCGGTTCAGCCTCTTCTTCTCCAACTGTTGGCTCTGCGGCTTGGAGTCAGAGCCATTGGAGCTCTCCATTATACACCGACACCGGCAGCAGGAGGGTGGTGAAGGGAACGATCAAATCTCTGACATGCGCCACCAGAAGAGCAGCCGGGGATCTCTGCCCTGATCCCTGCCGGAATGTGGATGGGCATCCTGCGTCGTGCGGGATGTTTTTCACTCCATCCCGACAGCATTCACCAGGTTGTCATTGTAGTCCCCTCTGCCTGAGAGGAAACGCTGCAATAAACCCGGGATGAAAGACAGGTTGCATCTGCGGAGGGTTCAGGATCAAATAAAAATGAAGTCAGGTTTCCTTTTCCTCCATCCCGTCTCCAAACACGCTGGACCCGTGGAGCTACTCCATCCTCTCTCACTCGTAAAATCTGCAGCCGCTGCGGTGTGAGGTTTAACGCCAGTGATTTTCTGCGACGCGCATGCGTCACTACTACACAGGCAGGTCTGACACGCTCTACTGCGCGTGCGCCGACGGCTTTAGAGCACTTCTGACAGAACAGTAACATAAAAACTCCTCCAGTTAGTAATAAATATAAACATCTTTAATCGCATTGTCATTAGTTCAAGAATGCCACAAGTTATAAATACAGCTTTAAACAAAAACCTTTCAAAGATTCATAACAAATGTAACACAAATAACAGACGTCATTCTTAAAGGATACATATTGCAAATAAAGAGAAGCATTTTAAATGTAATTAAAACTGAGTATTAAAAGGCTTGGTTATTAGAAATAAGTCCACGTGGTTAGTGCCGAAAGGTCAAACACGGACAAAGGTTAAATTCTCAAACACAATCTGAAAAAAGTGCATTCACACAAAAAAATGATTTCCCACATATTCCAAATCTGACTAATGATCTTACCGCAAAACAAAGTGTTTGGATGAAACGTTTCAACATCTTTATTTTGGCATGAAACTCATTAAGGTGTGCGTGTTGAATCTCCTCCAATATTAACTGTAACATATAAAACAAATTGCCCACGTAAATCTGGATCAGGGAATTTGACTGGGCCTGTCAAATCTTTACCACCAGTTCTACAGCCTGACAAAACACACACACTCAAAGGTACATAAATACTGAAATCATTTCAACCCAAAGGTTTGAGAAATAAAAGGATGTCTCGCAGGAGGGATTACAGCATGTGCAAAAAAAATGGGGGAAAATCCTGACCTACAAAATACTGAAAAAAAAACCACAACCTCTCCTTTAAATATGTCTCTTTGTTCCAGAAGATGTAGAAATATTCATAAGTATCAAATCTATTTCAATGAAACAAACCTTTATAACTTTCACTGTTACTACGGTAACCCAGAAGAGCCAAACCAGTTGTTTTTGAGCATTTTAACTCATTTCTGCTGTCTGTTTTCCAAACGTTATCTTGGGTGAAAAGGAGAAAAGGTGTGAGTTGGTTGCATTTTGCACATTCATTACTAGATGCCACCAAAGCAAACATAAAGGGGCTTTAATCTGTTATGAAACTCAAAGTTAATCGAGTGATCAAAAGCATGTGCAGTTCTGAGCCGATCCAAGTTTCCTGAGTCATTCTGGCACTTTTCAACAAAAGGAGAAACACTCTACTTCCACCCTCAGCTTTATCCGAATTCAAAAGGGAAAAAAAAGGAAAACAATCAAATATATTAGTGACAAAAAAACAGACATGTGCACTGGCTAATCCCTCTGAGAAGCCAAGAGCACGAAAATTCCCTCCTGTTCAACATTAATCAATCCAAGACTACATTACCCATCTCTCCTTGCAACTACACTCCTGCTCCAGAAAGTAGCAACTGTTCAGGCAGCATTGATCCATATTAGAGCTAAACTACAAGTTGTTTCCTTTCATGAATGTCAGTATAAGATGGTTTGTAGTGCAAAACATTACAATTTATACAAATTTAAACTGAGACGCGCCCTACTTTTTATACTGTAGGAAAAAGCACTAAAAGCTCAAAAGATCGCCACATAACCATCATTTTCCACTAACGTCTGCATCACCTTCTCCAGTCGCTACGGCAACAAATCCTGTTTAGACCATGTGCTTTTAAAAAAACTCCTAAATCAATCCACAGCTTGATAACACAAATTAATCAGTTTATAAAACTACTGAACCTGCAGATCCAAAGTGTCCACTGAGCTAGGGAGGTGTGAGATGTCATCCCTTTTTCTGAAAACTTGCAAATGCAGAGTGAGAAGACTGCTGGCCTGTCTAAATGATGTGTGAGCATGTGTAATGTCAGAAGAGAAGAAGAAACTGAGATGTAAGGCCCCCAGTTATTCCCAGTTTCCCACTCAGTTTAAAATGTCCAGCTGCTAACATCACCGTCCCAACAACGAGGTAGTCTGGGTCGAGTGTAGACAGACAGGTGACAGGAAGTGATCAATTCCTCGGGTGTTAGTGTGCTGTAGGTCATAGAGTTCAGTAACAAAGAAGAAGATAATACTGCCTGTTGTAGAGTCCATTCATCATTACAGCTGCAACCTATTCTAACGTGCAGTGGTGTGCTGCCCCCTCCTGGCCAGATGGCAACACTGCATATTTTAACGAGTGTGTTTGTGCTTTGTGTGGGGAATGATGATAGGTGGGATGGAGGGGTGAAAACGTGCTCAGCAACAGCGCATACGGGGAGGGGGCAACTCTGGTGGTACTTCCGGTTCAGGCTGCAGAGACAGGACGCTGTTGGAAAGCGCCTTGTTGGGAACTTCTAATGGCATCTGTGGGACGAAGAAACATGCAATCCCAAATGTGATGTGACAGTAATCTCAGAAGTGCGTGTACATTATTTTATAAATATAATTATAATATCAGTAAATGAACCAAACAGATTTATTAAAATCTGATCAGACTAATGAAACAATAAACATACCTGCAAACTTGGAAGGTGTGAGAAATGCGACAACTCAAATCAAATATCGTCTGTTTATGTTAAACTCCGAACTCAACACCCCCAAAAACGCACGACAAGCATGAGGAAACATCTATAAATGCTGAAAGGACATAAATCTGCTAAAGCTGGGTAGACACGGCGACTTTTTCACTCGTAGCGTTCAGCTTCAGCTCAAACTGTACGCCTTCCTCGCAGAGCAAATCTCACGAGTCGTGCTCACAATGTATGACCCAGTTCTTAGATGCGACCTAACTGCTGGTAGCAACACATCGAACCTGAAAATAAGCTAAAAATAGCCATTTTTACTTTTATTGTGTTGTTATTGATGTCTGTAGTCCTTCGGGAGTGCTGTAGGACACAGGGATTTATGGCAGTTGCATAAGACAAAAAAAAGAAAGTAAAAAAATCAATGTTTTATCAGTTTACTTTGACATGAACACATTTTCTTGACAATCCTTGTCACTGTGTGCGAAAAAATAGTATAAATAAAAACGACCAACGTGTGTTAATTTGACAAACTTTAAGGTCCAAATTAGGGCTGCAGCTATCAAATATTTTTGTAATAGAGTACTCTATCTAATCTTTTATCAATCAAACGAGTACTCTAATAAATTACCCTTTTGTGTTTGTAAACCATTATACCAAATAGCATGCTATAAAATATGAAAGACCTCTTCAAATGAACACGCAATTGCCAGTTATTCTTCAAGTTTTTTTCAAATTAGTTTTCAAAACTTCAGCACTTCAACTTTACTTCACAGTAAACAAATGCCTGTGTAAAAAATAAGTATACAACCTGAGCCGATTTTCCCCTCGTGCGAGAATCAAACAGCGCCAGAACCGCTCACGTCACACGCGCGCAAACATGGCTCGCCAGCAATTTCCCTATTAACACACATCTGTTTTAATTTCTACACTTTTTTTCCACACACAATAACAAGGATTGCCGTGGTTATGTCAAATTATACTGACCACAAAACATTCATTTACTTTTGTTTTCCTCCGCCACTCTCATAAATACCTGTGTCCTCCTGGAGCAATCCCAAGGGACAACAGACATCAATAACAACACAATAAAAAGTCCGACGTGTTGTGTGAAAACTGCTATTTTTAGCACATTTTTAGGTCCGACATGTTGCTACCAGACACACAGTGTGAGCAGAAACTGAGTGCTACAAATGAAAAAGTCGCACAGTGTCCGCAGAATATATAGCAGGCCTCCGAGACCGCTTGTAGAAGTGACATTTTTATGTGGATGTTTCCTGGTCAGGTGCTGCAGCTTGGAGGATGTGGTGTTGTGGTAGGCGAAATCCATTTTACAGTATTTACACTGGACTACGTTTTCCGCCTTACGAAGTGAAAAATGATCCCACACCTTTGACATTTTCTGTCTTTTTTGCACTCCACCGAGGTCCACATTGTCCGCCATGGCTTAAGAGAAAGTGAAGTTACATTCGCTACTCGCGTGTGCATTCAGTGCAGTGTGTATGTGCGTCACTTATTTCGGTCCGGGTGAAACATGACCCTGGGCGATTGCAAAGCGATTAATTAATTAAACATGAATTAAACGATAGTCAAATTCTCTGCCTCGAGGCTTTTGTGTACTCAAATTATTCGAGGTACTCGAGGAATCGTTTCAGCCCTAGTCCAAATCGCAGCAAGATGTTGAAGCAACTGCAGCGCCTGCAGTTTCTGGCATGCTGTCTCCTTGACTGTGACTGGTCAAATGAGGATGCACGGCTGAAACTCTACAAGATAGTTTGTGAACAAGATGAATGCGCCTCCTTTCTCTGACTGATTCTCATAAAGAGTGACTGAAACCTGACTGAAGACACCCCCCAAAACAAAAACCCTTCTGCTCTATACGATTCATGTGAATGCCATATTTGGCGTGAAAAATAGCGATTTTTGCCAAAAAGCATCAAGTTTGCAGGTATGAATAAAGAACAGGGATGATTTAAAGTACTATTTCCCACAAATGATTAATAAAAATGATAAACACACCAACCTTGCTGAGAATATCGTCCACTAGCTTCAGGAAGATCTCATCCACATTAAAATTATCCTTCGCACTGGCTTCGCAGAAGCGCATTCCACTTATTCTAGAGGCAAACTGTTCAATGCGAGACATAATCAGTATAATCAGTCTTTCTTCTCCACACGAAGGTGCTGTTGCTAAGTTTCATGCCTTAAGCAACGCGTGTGGAAGAAAACAACGTCCATCATGAATAAGTTCCATCAGAATGTTAAAAAAACGAGGAAAGTCGTGTTTTGAACTCACCCTCTCTCCTTGTTGTCTGGAGACGACCCGATCAGCCTCACAGTCCAGCTTGTTCCCAACCAGCAGAAGTTCTGCTTCCTCTGAGGCGTACTAACAAAAGCCACTTACACACTAGCATCGGCTCCACTCCACTCAACTCCGCCCGCCTCAGCTTGGCTGCGTTCGTTTCACACTGCCTCAGGAAGCGAACGTGATTGAACGCAAGGGCGGTCGGTGGCCTGTGATGTCATGAGCATCTCCGAGCATGTGGGTGGGGCAAAAGAGTGCGGAGAGGTCCGCGGTGTCTCCATTATTAAACAAAAGTGACTTGAGCAGCCTTACTTTTCGAGACACTTGGATTTTGATTTTGCATTCTGCTTTGCTGTGTCTGGCAGCATTGCTTGCGTGTTCATGCGTGCGTGCGTGCGTGTGCATGCGCGCGCGTGGGAGTGTGTGTGTGTGTGAGACTCCTCACAGCAGTGAGAGACAGAGTAAATTGTTTTAGCCAGAGGTTTGTTACCTCCACAGCATCCATAAGGATAATGGGTTGCGGATGAGGGAAGCCCCCGCGGGCTGATTCTATCCAACAATCAAAGGCTCCCCCTAATGGTACGTGCGATTTTGAGCCGGTCAATCAGCTGGCAGTGGGTGTGTCAACCCTGTTTGGCTCCAGGCAGACCGCTTTGGGAAGAGGCGTGAAAAGACGCCCGTTTGCGCGCAGGAAAACCCAAGGCTACCTAAATGAGAACAACGCGGTCCAGGAGGAGTAGAGCCGATGCTAGTGTGTAAGGGCCAGAGCACAGACAACCGGTTCCATCACTGGTTAGAACATTTTCCATTGGAAACACATCCATCAACAAGCAGCCCTTTGATTACTTATCTAACTCAAACTGAACCTCTGAACTCCTCATCCCTCCGTTGTTGTAGTCAGTTACCTTGTCGATCATTTTCATCCACTTTGGAAGATCATCAAAGGTCTCCTGTTTCGTTATATCGTATACAAGCACTATTCCCTTGGCTCCTCTGTAGTAGGCTGATGTGATGCTGTTAAACCTCTCCTGGCCTGCAGTGTCCCTGGATTAAACAAAGAAAGAGAAGGAAACCCATTAAGTCATCACTCAAGAGTCTTATTTTAATTTTTAAAAAGACCGATTAACAGAGCACTTCGAATTTTTCAATCATTTAGATCAAAAAACGAACCAGTTTGATTAAAAATATTCATTTCCTTAAATTAGGGTGAAATCAACTTTTAAATTTGTCGCATCCATAGGTACTTTACAAACCTATCAGCCATAACATTATGACCACTTTTAATCCAGGTAAGGACTTCAGAAAACCCCTGGAAGCGTGTGCTACCTTCAGTTCAGTAAAACATGCATCCAGAACATCTGAAAGATGTGGATTGGATTCATATCTAATGCGTCCCACAGACAGTAGGGTTTAGGCTGAATGGTTTCTGGGTCACATTAACTTTAGTGTGTTTCACGATGATACAAACTAGCTTACTAGCACAGTAAGCAAGCAATGCTAACAACTTCATACAGATGTCCAGAAAAAAAAATTCCCATTATATTGGCCTAAGCTAGCATGTATGACGATTTTGCTACTTAAAGCAGAAGTTTGTTAACTTACCTTTATAATTATGCATTTAGGTGGGTGCATACAGCTTAAAATGTTTGTCTATATTTGATTTTGGCATTTTGGATGTGGCCTGGATTACCCAATTAACATATGTCTATGGCATTATTCTCTGTACATTGTTGTCCGTCATCCTCTGCAGGTCCAGCAGCGATCATGTGAAAAACGCCACAGAGAACGCTAATGTTACTGTGACCCCTGACCCGGTGATGATTCAGCTGGCTAAAAGGTCAGGAAGCACCAAACCAGAGCTCAGTGCCTTAAACCCTATTCCTGTTTGCAGTGAGGAAGTGCACCATATCATGTTAATTTATAAGTAGTCGTAATGTTGTGACAAATAAATCATACAATCACTAAATCTGAATTTCACATCATTCTTACCTGATATTTAGAAGGAAATAACCCACAACTGAAGGGTTTAGCTCCAAGATCACTTTTTTACACTTTGAAGGCATGATCCAAATTAGAAAAAGAACAGGAATGACTGAAAATGGATGAAATGTTTTGAATTTTGGCAGTTAACTCTCCTGTTTTGGATATTTGATTTGGAATAAGTATAGTTTAATTCGTAAGCCTGTGTTATGAGTATTACAGCTGGGGTGACAAAGTGAGGTGTTACTGTATCTTCAGCCATCTACCCCCCCCCCCCCCCCCCCCCCCAGTGAGTCACAATCAGGCTCATGAGCAGAAGAGTGGACAGAGACAGCAGCACAATGGCAGAGTTAGGCAAGACTAGGCGAAGCCACAGCCACCAGGTCGGATGGATTGAAGAAGAGCAGGGGGAGAGCGGTAGACGCGGGGCGTAGAGGGGGAGGGTGAAGGTAATGTGACGATTGAAGGGTGGAGGAGGTGGGTGTTAGCAAGACAAATTAGTTAGCAATGATGTTGCAGCCAAGCATCAACACACAATCAATACACACATTTAAATATTTCAGTCCTTTTGTGGTTTTCTCTGTTCCGTCAGGAATTAGATTCAAATCACAAAACCATGAACGCTCGGGTCCAACCACGGTCAAACAGCCTTCAAGTCTTGTGTGATTCAGTTCTATTAAAAACCTAAACCTCACACCAACTTGCAATCTGGAAAATTCTATAAGAACTTTCCACTGAATATTGCTTGTGCTGAATTATATTGGATGCATTTGTCCCTCTGTCCTCGTGGTCCTCCTCAGTCCCTGCAGAATCGTGCTGCCACGGGCAGGTTTAACTGAAGGGACGTTATGAACAGGTTTATCTGTGTTATCCAGCAGCAAAAATGAGTGTTTCTGTGTAGCATAGATCATCTTACACAGTATCCCTCTTTCTTGTTCATTTTCTTTTTCCCTTCTCTGACATTTTTAATCACCATTTTTTTCTCATTTGAACCATATTGAAAAAAAGAAATTGTTCTAAGACCCGTGTAAGGCAACGCTGAAACACAGCAAAACTCAGAACATTTAATAGGATCTGAAAACATTTCTAAAGTATTCTGATAGTAAAAAAGCTTTTAGACATTTTGTAGAATATTAATTAGATTTTCAGTTCATGGATGCTTTTAAAATGTGATTAGAGTGAGTCAAGTTGAAGTCACAAGATAGGGGAGAACAGACGTAACAGAATCAAACAACAGGCTCCTCGCACTCGAGGGCCTGTTCGGTTCAAAGCTTCAAAAGTCAAAGCGCATAACTCTCGCTGTATTCTTGTCAGTGGGGTGTTACAGAATGTATAAAAATGACAGGTTCAGGGTTTGATGACACTGTAAACTCTGCCATATTTGAGCAATTAATCCACAAGAATCACTCAAAATGGGCTGCAGTGTTTTATACATTTTTAACACCTCTGCTCACGCTGTTGTTAGTAGGGACAGCTACTCATAAAATCTAAATCACTGTTAATAAATGTACTGGTTAAACAGTTAGGACTGGAATAAAAGTAAAAGCTAAGTGCAAAAGTAATGAAATTACCAAATATGACCAAAAATTAGATGTCATTTATGTTCTGACAACAAGCTGAGGATGAATTAAGCTGCCTGCAGCACCATGCTGAAAGTTGATTGTTATGAATCCCAACACAGGCAATAGTAGCCTTGCTAGCACAAGGTGACACACAGACATGAACACTGTATGAACCTGCACCTCTGATCATTTTACTCACCATATCTGTAGCCTGATCTTCTTTTCTCTCAACTCAACGGTCTTGATTTTGAAGTCAACTCCTAAGAAAGGATCAAAACAAACACAGAAAAGAAAAATCATTTCCTGTGCTGCATTGATTTTATGTTGTTTTTTCTACTGGTTTGTTTACAACCAAACGTTTTTTAAATGAAACACTAAATAATTGATTTACAGGACACAAGACAAGATTATCAGAGAAATGTGTGATATCAGATTAAATGAAAATTGCATCAGTGACACTTAACTGTGTCACAGGGATGACAGAACACAAAATGGAGCTCTAGGAAAGCAGCTGTGAGACTATTTTAGGACTGGACACTGTAGCTGGCTGCAGTCCTGGTCACAAGGACTGTTGACTTGTTTTTAATACACAGGCATGACGATAATAATTAATGCATGTGTTCATTAGAAACGTCATCAAAACTTGTTTTCATGTAAAACAGTTTAAAATGTGTGAAAACTGGTTGGTGTCATTTACTTAAAACAAAACTATGCAACCATCTGAACTATTGAAACTGGATTCGTCTTTAAATTACATTTTCCAAAGATCCAGTAATTTCTAGATCTATTTTGATCTTTTCTGACAAAATCCAAACAGAAACTAGTTTTAAAAGTCTAAAATACTGAAGCATTGCCCCAAATATTACTCCATTTCATAAAACAAACTAAGCGCAGATAAATACAGTTCAAGTTACCTCACACGACAACAAGGCTGTTAGCATATCCAGCTGTAATGGTTCGAGCTAGCCAGACACTTCTAAAAATAAAGTTTTAAAAAATCCCCATTTCCCAGAATTCTCGAGGTTGACAGAAAATACACCGCGTCCATCCACCACAAGCTAGTTTAAAAACCGTTATTTCCAGCAAACAGACGGATCCCGTTAGCGCTGTGAAATTTAACAAATAAACAAAAACAAGTCTTTGTCCTCACCTACGGTCGACTTGCATGCTTCGCAGAAAGTATCGTCGGTATATCTCTCCATGAGGCTAGTTTTACCAACTCCACGGGAGCCAATAATGATAATCTGGAGTTTGAAGTCAGCGGGTCGGGGAGGCATCTTCCTGCGGCGAGACTGAGGCCCCATAGCCGGGGACGAGTTGGCTGAGCCCCCGCTGCCACCGGCGGTGGCTCTCCGCGGTATGTCATATCTCGGATCCATCAGAAATGTGACATGTTTGCGTACAAAAAAGAGAATATACACAAGCCCAAACTCAAACAAAACCGGAAAGATTCGCTATTTTTAAATAATGTTGTGTCTGAAGAAGTTTGAGAAAGTTTGTTAGCTGATGATAGTTGTTCAGCCAGAGACCCCTGGACGTCATGACATCACTTCCGCTTCCGATGCCTTCCCCCAAGAAAAACGAGTTAACAAAAAATACATAAAAAAAAATAAATGTACCTACGAAAATGACCAAACAATTAATAACAACACTAACTAGATAAATTGCATTTCTTGCAGAAATGCTGTTTGAATGCTGGATAGCTGAATCAGCTTAATAGCTGAACTGAAGCTGTAAGTAAAACTGTCAAAATGAGCTGAATGTGTTAAAAAATGTAGAAGCAAAAATCACTAACAAGCAAATAAAGCACAAAAGTAAGTGAAGAAAGGAGAAAGATAATCCTAAATAGCAAAAAACTGAAATCTGTGAACACTGTATAAAAATCTAGACAGCTAAAATGTCCAAACACCTGTTATTTCAGTTGGACAAGTGTTTAATCTTTACATTTAGCTGAACTGTGAACTTAGCAGCTTATGCTAAATTTGGTAACTGATTGCTGAAGTTGTTGAATAGCTGAAGTGAAGCTGAAACTAAACTAAACTGGCAAATGAGCTGAATGTATTTAAATATTTAGAAGTAAAAATCACCATCATTTTAATTGTAGCAACCCTACCAATTAGAGCCCTGCACTGAAGCCCTAGGCCCTCGGGTCGGCCTGGCCCGACGGCCCTCGGGCCGGGCTTCGGGCCAATGACTGCGTAAACCTGAACAGGCCCAACCCAGTCTTACTGTGAGACCTGGTTGACGGGTCATGCTTGTGCATAATCATATGCGCTGTCTGAGCTGAAGATGTGAGATTCTGGGCTTCTCCTCAGACAGGCTCCTGATGTGTCGCCACATTGGAGACAGGAACAAGCACTATTCAGCCAAAGTTTCATAATCAGGGAACATTTTCTAAGTGGCAAGTCTCTCTGAGAGACAGGGTTTGGAAAACACTCGCTTCAGTCGGAGGAATCTTCCCGCATGCGCTCCACAACTTCAGCTCGCTGTGCACATATGCGCTGACAGCGAGCTGCGCTGAGCAGTGTCCAGCTCAGATGTTCAGATGGGAATATTTTAACTACATCTGCAATGTGCATAACGAATAAAATGTCAGTCCATCTGCATGCGTCGGGGTAATTCTTTCTATTCTTTCTCCGTCAATATAAACGGTCAAATACGGGAACTATCAGGTCAACACAACACAAGCCCTGCTTTTAACTGTTTTGTTTTCTTGTGAAAATTGTTGGAAAGACATAAAATTTAACTTGATTACCACCAGAGCCTGCGCCATTATCTCCATGACGGTAAATGAGGGAAAAATAAATTTATCGAATCCTGCGCGTCTTTTAACACATTGGTCAGGATTGACGCACTTTGTTTTCATTTAGTTGGTTAAAAAAAAAGTCGGGCCAGAGAATCCTGAAAACCTTTTCGGACCGGGTCGGGCTGGGGCTCCACCCCCTCGGGCCGGGCCGGACACGGGCTCAGATTTTAGGCCCATGCAGGGCTCTACTACCCATGAGTGATATCGGTAAGGATTTCCATCTTGCAAGATCATCTTCCACTTTCTTTAAAAGTGGGATGTAGTTTAGTTTGGTTAGATCTGCCTAATTGGGAGAGACATTAATTCCCAGGTATGTGATATTCCCTGACTCCAATTGGGTATTAAGTAAATTGACAAAATATAAATTATTTGGTAGAACTGTGGATTTTAACCAATTTGTAGAGTAATCTGAAACTTTTGAAAAAGAGTTTATCAGTTCTATTGAATGGGAGAGAAAGGATTGAGAATTCTGGAGAAAGAGTAAAACATAATCTGCATAAAGACTGATCTTATGTTCTATTTTCTTACACTCTATCCCTTTAATATCTGTTGTTTGCCTAATTGCTGCTGCTAGTGGTTCGATAAAGATAGCAAACAGTGAGAGGGAGAGTGGGCATCCCTGCCTGGTCCCCCTCTGAAGACAGAAGCTTGCTAATATTTGGTCGTTTGTCCTGACACGTGCTGTTGGTGAACTGTATAGTGTTAGTAGCCAGTTTATGAAGAAGTTCCCAAAACCAAATTTATGAAAAGTTGCAATAAGAACTTCCAGTTAACTCTATCAAAAGCCTTTTCTGCATCTGCATGCTGCATGGTGGTGCAGTGGTTAGCATTGTTGCCTCGCAGGACAAAGGTTGCAGGTTCGAAACTTGGCTGCAGCCTTTCTGCATGGAGTTGCATGTTCTCCCCATGCATGCGTGGGTTTCCTCCGGGTACTTCGGTTTCCCCTACAGATCACAACATGCCCTATAGGTTTGAAATTGTAAGTCGCGTTGGATAAAAGCGTCTGCTAAATGAATAAACATAAACATCTAGAGATAATGCACTAGTTTCTATGTTTCTACTGTAAGAGAAATCTATCAAATTAAGTAGTCTACGTGAGTTTGTGGATAACTGTCTACCTTTGATGAAACCAGTTTGGTCAGGGTGTATTATGAAGGGGGTTACCTTCTCTAATCTTTTTGCCAGGGCTTTACAAATTATTTTGCGATCAACATTAATAAGAGAAATTGGGCGATAGCTGGTAGACAAATGAAACAACCAGCAACAGCTTTTATTGGCCTTACAAAAACCTTCCAAAAAAAAAAAAAATAGGCCACACAATGCTACAGCCTCTTCAAAAATTCAGATGAGTCCAGAGCTTTTCTGAATTTCTCCGAATATATGAGCAGTTCCATGGCATAGGACATCAGCTGCCTCTCACTAATGAGACAAAGATAAATAGCAATTAGTAAAAATGACATTTACACCTAGAGGCTGTCATAAACAATGTGAAAACAATACATATAGGCATTAGCACTGTTCCTGTTTTTGTAGAATACCTCCGGGCTACCACATTGCCGTCGTGAGTTTGCTGCTTATTAGATGAGGAGTCATAAACGGTCAAAAAAATAGCCTAATGTTACATTTATTTTGGCCAAAAGGCTTGCATGTAGCCCATTAAAAATTATATAAAAAATATTTTGCGTCCATGACGTCTTCCCCCACTGCCAATAATGCTTAATTTTATATAAAACTGTTTCAGAAAAAAATCACTAATGTGCTATCTATCAAACTATGTCTTAAACGTTCAAATTTAAAGTACAAAATCTTCACAAGTTGTAAAAATATAAATCTGTCTTTACCTGAACCGTCATTTCCATCTGTTGCAACACGCATGCGAGTTCTCGTCTTCGTACATGCACGCGTGTTTTGTACATAGGGGCGAATTTGGACGGGGCTGCGTCTGCAGCTAGACGTTACTCCCTGCTCCCTCACATCATCACACAAACATGCACATAAGACATTGGGGGGTGGACAAGTCAGGGAGTGCGGGTATGGACCCCATTTCCGCATTCCTGTGGCAACCTGCCCCCCCAATTTCATTTGCACCTTAAACACTTCCACCAACGACATTCCACGCAAACACACACTTAGGGCCTTAGGAGTGAGCACATTCAACGGCAGTTGGCAGGGGGATTTCTCAGCCTCATCCCAAGTGCCGGTGCCCACTTCCAATTTTAAACTGCACTTAGACACTGAGGGCTGTGGGTGCAAGTGGGGTGGTGTGGTGGAATCAGCTAGCATAGGCCAGACAATGCCCGCACTGCCCACTCACCACAGCCATGGAATACACCTCATCAACACTCACTAACACCATTTTAGAGCAGGCGGAGGGAGACTAGGGGTCTTAGCACACCTCTGTTGTCACTTGGCTTCCGGGGGCTGGAGGCTAGGAGGGAGATCCGGCCGTCCAGTTGGGGTCTGGGGTTGTGGGTTGCTGTGCTCTGTGTTGGGCAAGGGAGCCTGCTCATCAGCACCCCAGCAGAAAGGGTTGAACTCTGGGAACCGGTAATGGTTGTACCCCATGTGCAGCAGTACCGGGACCAGAGTGAATAGGGTGTGTATGGGGAGCATGAGTGGATGTCCGGCGTGCATTTTTGTAAGTCTTTGGTTGTATGTGTATGTGTGAGCATGAGGGAGGGAGTGTGTGACTGTGTTTGTGTATGACTGTTTATGTCAGGTGGGGCCTTTGACTCCTCCCTTCTCCTGGGACTTCTTTTGATGATATAGATCTTCAACTCCCCTCTCAAATCAAATCAATCAAATCAAAGATACTTTATTGATCCCAGAGGGAAATTAGAGTTTCAGTACACCCAATTCAGAGATCAGACATACATGGGCAAGACACATGACAAGAATTGGTGACTGTGGTCATTCGCAACCCTGAGTCGTGCTACCTTAATAGAGATAAGAGGGTTACATGAGGATTGGTTCAGGTGGAGGGAAAAAAGGCACTTCAGAGTTACCCTCCACCGGGAGGGCAGCTTTGCTCTGCAAAAAAACACCTCAGACAGATATGCAACAGACTTCAGATAACACAACATAAGTGTCCACTAGATGGGGTGGTGGGTTGGGACTATCCCAACTTCAGTTCCTGCAGCCACGATAAGCAGCGCATGTCACCTCAGTGTGGATAGGGGGAGCAGCATTGAGGGTCTGAGGGTTGCAGTGACCCTGGAACGTTTCAGCGGCCTTCCCGCAGTCCCGCCCAGGCTGAGAAAGGAGACAGATCTCAGTTACCATAGCGATGGCACATTCCACATATCTTCTGAGGGGGGAGTTTTTGTTGGAGCCATGCAGGCTCAAGGGCGCCAGATTCCGATTAGAAATTGTTTTGGGGCCAGACAGAGATAATTTCCTCTCTGTCTTACAGTTTGTTGGTCCTCAACCTCTCAAAATCCCAATAATGGACATTAATCTATCCCAATCCGTGCTGATTTGTTCACTCTCTCCTTGATGGCATCCATCTTTTGTGCCAATGAATGAATCTCGGCCAAAGTTCCAAGCTTACGATTCATCTCGACAATTATGTGAGTCTGTGAATTCACAGCGCGGTGCAAACCATCTCTGAGCTCCGGGATCAGGCCAATATTCCTTGACAGCTTGTTAATTTCCCGGTAGGCCAGGTAGCCTCCAAGGCCAATGAGTAGGAAACCTGACACCAACACCACGAATATCCACACGTCTTCACACTGCCACACCTGGTGTGGAGTGCG